CTCTTTCCATTCACAACAGTTTTCTCTTTCTGTTTCCTTACCTTACAAAGTAACGAAAGCAAAATGACTTTGAACTTCCGAATCATATTTAAAACACTAAAAACTGTATACAAAGAAACCCATACTGAATTCAATCTATACACTATCATTATATCACTTAGGGTAATGGGAAATTTTAGTCAACTTCAATCTAAAAACAGTTTCTAATGTTGCGTGCCCAAATATTGCTGGAAAGAAATCTCTGGGACCAATCAATGTGCATCCAAAGTCAGTGTGCTTGCTCCTTCTGCTGAATTTGCTTTTTTATTGCTTAAGTGAGCAGAAATATAACTGCATTAAATACAAAAGAATAATATTACCACAAGCTAATATACCGCATTGAGCATAAGACCAAGGTTCATTACATAAAAATTGTTAGTATTTTGAGTGTGACATACAGCTCACACTGTACTGCTGCACTTATTTTTCTAAACTGGCAGCCTGAGCTATAATTTCTGGGATTGATTCTCCAGTCCCCAGTATTTCTCACTGCTCAGTCCTCTAGGCATTAATTCCACAAAAACAATCATTATTATGATTATTATGATTATTATGGGAGACTGAGAAGTCAGACATACCTAAGGAAAGGCTTCAGGGAGAGTAAAAAAAAAATTTAACACAAATAGACCACAAAGAAACAATTAACTCAATCATTTTTCTGTAGAAGAAACATTCAGATGATAAAGAAATATACACATAAAGAAGCATATGCACTGATAAAAAGAAAACACAAAACTCAATGTCCAAGTGATACTGTGCAAAAAAAATAATTTCTGCCAAAGGACTCTGTATTAATAGTGAATCCAGAAAGTCTGTGCTATGATTGAAGCACGCTGTTGAATATGATAGTATTCTATTTGCAAAATTATGATTCTGAAATGGTGGAAAGTGCCAAAGAATGCTGCATGCATATTATTAACAGCCTCTGATCACCTCTGTTCACAGAAACTTCCTAATAGAACCATAGTATCTGAAGGACTTCAAATATATTAATTTGAATATAAATTATCTGTATTAGAAATGGCTACAGACTATCCAACTTGTGGAAAGTGACACGATTTGCAGATGAACTATAAAGCCCCAACTTCTTAATTTTTCATAACAGCACTAGCCCATATCATCTTCTTCCTCCATTTTGTTTACATTTATGATTTTACTGGACCCAGATAAATTAAAATATAAACTAATGCATCAATACACAAATCCTCCTTGTAAAGGAATAGATGAACTAAAAAATTACAGTACCAAGAGACTGTAGTATCATAGCCAGTAGCGGCATAATTTTTACCCAAAAAAAACACAGAGAACAAGAACTGAGTAAGTATGCACGCTGAATTACATTTCTGGTAACTCCAGAACATGGATGAAGCACCTTCATAAAGACAACATAGTCATTAGTACATTGATACTGATTACTCCCCTGATACCTGACCACAAACGTTCTTGAACATGATCAGAAAAATCTCCTTTGACTGGCATTCATCTAGCCACAGATCTTTAACTCGCATGCCAGCATGCACCAGGAAAGCTAATGAGGCTTCAGTGCTTCAGTTTGCCAGCCTCCCTCAGGAGTTTGTCAGTCTCTGTCTTGGATGTAAATGTTCTGCTCACCCAAAATCCATTGTTTCTCTTCTGGTGTTCTCACAAAAGCATGCTGATAAATCAGATCACAATGAGAAACAGATGCATGAAAATAATATAAAATTCCAGTTCAGGCTAGGAAATACCAATAACTGCCATGTCCAATAAAACTCTTTATAAATTACTTCCTTCAATCAATAAGCAGACAGGTGCTTAATAGCTACTTGAAATGATTCTAAGACAACATTTTCTTTCCTAACAAAAATACACCTTTATCTACCAGAAGGACAATCATTATGTGAAGAGGAAAGACTGGAAGGTATATGACTTCTTGTTGGGATGCTGCTATTTTCACATAAAATTAAGACACCAGGAAGCTGACAAACTACTGGATAAGATGGCAAACAAAGAGCAGAACCCTTGAGATTAACAAAGCAGTGTCATCACATTGTCATCCAGCCAGATTGTATCATACACAATCCATGCTTAAGTAGGAATTTTACACTGTTTTAACTATAACATTGAAAAAGCATCAGCAGGCAAAAGGAATATAATCTCTAATTTAAAAAGAGTCATTTCACTGCAACCTACCACATATTTAAATCTTTAATTACTTTACTAGATGAATCTTAATATTAATATCATCCTTTTTGTGTAAATTACCATAACATTTTCTGAAATATGCTCTGTCTAGCCCTCAAGGTATCCAAACATATCCATATATGATACTGATCACAGGCCTAAGCTGTCTCTAATTTTCAGAAAGATGCTTAACAGCTAATTGAAGTGTCATGCCTGGCAAAACTGCGTCTCAGATAAAAAAAGAGAGAGAGAGTATGGCTTTCCTAACTAGTGAGACAGAAGACACATATCAATGACTTTAGGCTTGGAACAAGGAGGGAGAAGTATTGATGCAGGACCAGTTAAAATTATGGCACCCCGCTCAACAATGCCTAAACTGGTGCTAACTGAAAGCATAATATTCCTTAGTTACAAGAAGAATCAATTAACAGGCATGCGGTCTCTCTCTGAAGTCAAGAAAGTTTATCTGTAGCTGTAAGAAACAGCTACTGTTGACTAGAGGTAATAATTGAGGGGAAAAAAAGATCAGGAAGCCCAGCAAGACTCTTATATCACTTCAAGTATAAAATAAGAGCTCCAAGCAAAATGCAGATACAAAGTGCAGGTAAATACTGAAGCATACAGCAATGTTGGAATCAGATCTGTAGCCACAGACATGATATCAGCTCCATTCTGCACTACACAGGGTATCAAAGTGTGTAAGGGAGTGTGAGGACCAATCTCCAGTTCTGCTAACTGAAGAGATTCTGAAGAACAGCACCTGAAAAACTCGTGCATTACAGAACTAAAATGCTAAGGCAGTATGAAAACTAAATGTATTTGTTCTCCATTTTGATGGATAGTGTTGATGCACAGTTCAGTTAGCTTCACAAACCACGTTTGAAAGTAAATAAAGTAGCTTTATTCATCAACTGTGGCTGGCTGTATATGTGATTGCTAGGTAAAGCAGATTTTACTTCAGAGAAGCAAATCCCTATCCTGGGTAAATTTCTGAGCTTTTGTAGCCTGTCTGCACAAGATGCTGGCTCTCTGAAGTTAAAGAACTCAGGTAAGCTCCCAAAAAGAGCATCTGAGAAGTTCTGAGTATTGTTTTAATGTTTTTGATCACTGTGGTATCTAGTTACAGAGCACTAAATTTCATGGCTGCAGAATTATTTACTTATTTATTTTGTACAGAACTCTGTTCTATATATCACTGTCGTTTATCATCTTTATTTTTGGATATGCTTCTTTTTCTTATTTCTACTTCACTCTATCGCTTGAAGTGCCTGAAGGTATCATAGAGTATACTATAACATGCATATCTGCAATCTATAATGAAGATCTGGACAAGCATATTCAAAATGATTGCCTAACATTATGCTTCTTATTTATGCAATTAAGTTAAACAATGGAATTTCGTGGTCACTACTCAGCATTAAAATTAAAAAAAATTACTTAAAGTACCTAAATGCCCAATCAGAAGCCCAGTCTTACCGCATTCCCAGGAAATTCCAGTTGCTCTGTGCCACTTAAAAGTAAGCAGAAAACTGCTCTAAAAAAATTTCTCAATAATTGTTCAGCTGGGGAAATAGAGGAGACCTTTTGCTGCCTTCTAATACACAAAGGTTATTTTCATTATGTCTAAAAACAGAACGATGTTTTTCCACCTCTTTTTATGTTTGTGAAAACATGGTACTCAGTTTTCACATCTTGCACACTATTCACTACTTGCAAACCTGCACACTACTTAGATACAGTTAGAAGTATATATAGATATGAAAAATGTAGATGACACATGCATCAAAACCAGCTTTTAAATTTCCATATGAAATTAAGCAAAAGCCTAGAAATCAAGACATTTGTAAAGACTCTTGGTAAGCTTTTGATGACACCCAGAAGTCTGTAGCCTTTTTCTTGAATGAGAACTATAGTATCTTAAGACACTGACTCCCAAATGTCCAATGTCTATCAAAAAACAGACAACAAGGAAAAAGTAGCTTTAAAGCAGTATAGGGGACTATGGCTTACACCTAAGAATCATATTCAAAGGATTCTTATGTCACTTCTATCTATGTTTACACAATTAAAAATTTGTTCTCAAAAGCAACTGCTGTTGAGTTCTAATAAGGAATATTTGATCAATGAATATACTTGTTTTAAATGACGTCTTATTGTTCAGAGTTTTTTGCAAAGACAGATCCAATGGAGAATGTCAGAAGAATTTGAGTGAAAACAGGCAAAAAGTACATGACCTGTCTGTGGATTCAGAGGCCTCACTGTTTACATTTCCCATGTAGGAAGAAATTATTTCATCTTAGTCGTTTTTGCAAATGCCTATATATATGGTCTCACAAAGAAAAATGTATTAAATAGTACACTCACCTTCATCACTAGTTGCTTGCTGTTTAACCAAAGTCATTGGAGATCTAGCTGGGGGTTTATTTAGTGGATGACGCCAACTCTTAGATATTTTCCTTCTTTCAGCTTCCACAGACTGAAAAGGAAAAAACACAACTAATTTAGTATGTAATTCTATAAAGTTAATTTTGATGAACAAAAACATTCTTCTGTAAACGAGCACAGATGTCAATTCTGTAAATACTATCGGGGTACTTGAAGCACCTTTAGTGTACCCACAAAACATTTGTCTCTAATTCAGAATACATACTCTAATTAAAAAAGAGCAATCTTTGTCAAATACAAATGGTTTGAGATATAAGTTACTGCAGACTTTCCCAAATTACAGAGCATAAATACTGGTTTGCTCCAGTGATGTCTGAGAGGAAGAACAGCCCAAACAATTCTCAGAAACTGAAGTACAATACAGCCACTAACCGCAGCCGGGAAAATGAGG